AATTCGAGATGCTCAATTAATTCAAGCGACAAGATAATATGATTTCACAGCAAATTTGGCCTTAATAACTTCGAGGATCTATGTATTGGAGATGAAGATGCAGGACAATGTAAACGAACTTTACAAAAAGAAAAAGACACTAACTAGGTAGCTTTTGGGGATATTAAAAAGGTTAGCTGAACTGAATGAGGATGCTCCTAAATGTATTCGAGTGCAATTTTATGAATTCTAGTAAACAAAAACCATAATAACCACAAGAATCTCATTGATGGCCCGGTGAACCACTTACTGTCAGAGTTCACTCAGACTTTTATAAAAGTGTCATGTTATTTCTTGCTATTACATCCAATGAGACCTTTGCAAAGCTAAAAGATTATCATAAAGACAGCTTACCTAACCAATGAACCATGTCCTCAATGGCAGTAAAAAATTTCTCTTCTTCCTTTTCAGGGTTGGTGTCATCAAATCGTAAGTTACACAATCCATTGTGAGCCTTCAAATATAGAAAGATAGTTCTTTACAAACGTTTGAGCAACAAAGTAAATTTAGAACCAGATGACAAACCTTAGCGTAGCCAAAATTGATGTTGATTGCTTTGGCATGTCCAATATGAAGCACTCCATTTGGCTCCGGAGGGAATCTTGTGATCACCTAAAGCTGAGAAATTGCTTGAGAATGTTATGATGAGCAAGGCAGATTAAACCACAGCCAACCTTTCCGCCAGTAGCTTCTAGATGCTTTTTCAATAACTCTTTTGTCTTTGGCGTAGTGATGTAACCATCCGTCATATAGTTCTCACCAACCTAAACCACAATCAAATATGGTACTTTCTACTTCGACGATCCCAACTCCATCAAAGTCAAGGAGAATTGTTTAGAAAAATATTGCAAACCTTGTGGAAATGAGCTCGAGTACGCATCAGTTCCTCGATCGTTGCCGCTCCATCCCCTTCTAAAATTACACTCAGTCGAAATTATTAATTCTTGAAAATAACATGAACTAACCTTCAAGAAAGCCATTTTCTTGCACAGTTGCAAGACCATTCACTTTAGGCTCAGCGTTTTTCTTAGGTACAGACTTCTTTTCCTGTGGTTTCTCCTCTTTCTTAATCTAAATCAAGAGGATTATTTGAAAAGTGTATCTGGGAGGGAGATCTTGGTAACCCATAGTAGGCTGCATTTACATAGAGTAATCTGGATTATATAAACATATCAGAGGATC